GGGGGAGGAACACATGTTTTTACTTTTTAGGGCCTGTTCTATTTTCTGCTTTATGGTTCACGTGAACTCGTACACTGCAAGTTGTTTAATCATTTTCATTTTCGTAAATGGAATCCATCTACTCACCATATGTAAGTACCTTGTTAAAACTTAAAACCACCACTCCCTTTTTTGAGCCCACTATGGTTTACCACGCGCAGCCTCTACTTCTTTAGTTCGTTTTCCGGGGGCATTGGACAATCTTCTGGGGGCCACTACAGCCTTTTCCATCCCATCCATGGATGACAGAAGGTTAACCGACCCCCCAATTTTCACCCCCATACTACGGCCTACGTTGACCAAAAACAAAACAGGGCAAAAAAAAAAAACCAAAAAAAAAAAAACATGATCCCCACTGCACTTTTCAGGGTGGTGAAGGTTACCCTAGAGGTGAAAAGTGGGGGTACCTGTTAACCATTTGTGCCATGGTGAGTGGCCCGCATTTTCGGCACGTGGTGGTAATTTAACCCCCTCCCCACGGTTTGGACGTGGGGAGGACCGGAGTAATCACATGGTTATTGGGTGTGAACACTGTGAAAGCTTAAGTATGCGTTGCCGCAATTTGCCGGATACTTATCAACTTGTGAAGCAGGTGGAGAAAGGAGCAGACAGCACGAGGCACACTCGAACCGTTCTTCCATTTGGTTCTCTTTCCGTGGTTTCTCATTTCTTCGCCTTGCAGCTTCCACCATATACTATATGCCTCACATGGGCTTGCACACTTTCTTCACCTGAATAGAATGCCCGGTCATCATAGCTGTACTTGAGGCAACTTTGAGTCTAGATACCGCGATAATGACCACGCGTTCTATTCGAGTGAAGACGGTAGGATGCTCCCAACGCCCTTCTCACGTGTGCGGCATCCACTGTCGGAGTCTCAGAGCCAAAAGGTAGGCTGTCAGCACATGGGCGCAGGGTCGAACAGACTCCGCTTCGCCATGCCTTCCTCCTCACATGGGCTAGGATGCTCCCTACACCCTTTCTCACATATGTGAGACATCCACTGTGGGGGAGCCAAGACGTAGGCCCCCCACTAGCACAGGGACTCGGGGTTAGTTACAAGTGCTAACATGGCACAAACATGGGTCTCTAATACTCTCTAACCTTCAGGCATATCAACACCAGAATTACTGTGTGAATGCACAGGACCACACCGACCGACACGTTTGGTGGCAAGAGACTAAGAGTTGTGTGTGTGAAAAAAAAAAAAAAAAAAAAAAAAAAANAAAAAAAAAAAAAAAAAAAAAAAGTCCTGCGTGTGTCGGAGTGAGAGGCCTCGGCAACCTACAGGAAGACCTTGAAGGAACACACACACAGTCTGCAGTGTTGTTGAAAGTGAGTCAAGTCAAGCATCATCTGCTGTCTTCGGGCCTCGCTCCGCTACTCTCCACATGCACAAAAGACAAAAAAGTATGGCAGTGCATCTTGCCATGTTCTAGCAGAAGATTCATTTACATTTTGCACAGCCGGAGAGCAGTGGAGCAAGCGCATAGTCAATCAATCGTATCAGAATTGAGGTTCATGAAAGACTCTCTAGATTAATTACCCGAACTCAGGCCATGAGATGTCCTCGGCCATGCAATGTTGATTACTCGCTCGACTACAGGGAGGCATCGCGAGGATGACACTGCATCTTGGGAACATTCGACGGGGCAAGCAGATGGCATTGGAGTCAAGAAACCAGCAGCTCTGCCGCGAATGCGCAGCCATTTTGGAGGGAATGAATCAGCTGCAGGTAATCAAAGGTTTGACGAAGCTGGGAATAGTTTTTCTAATCAAAGGTTTAAAGATGGCAACAGTTTTTCTAATCAAACGCCCAGCACGTGCTGCTCCCCACGAATAGATCGGAGCCTTTGTTATATATATAAAAAAAAAAAAAAAGGATCAAGGCTGGAGAGTGTTCTTCTGTAACCAAAGGTTTGAACCTGTAAACTGTTTTTCTAATCAAAGGTTTGAGGCTGGGAACTGTTCTTTGACTTCTTTCGCTTCCTCAAGGGAGCGTGCACAGGGTTAAGGTCATGCTACCGTCTTTCCGCAAATAGAACGTCTTGCTACCTATGGTAGCAGTGCTGCAAGATGGTACCCTCTCCTTCTGATTCCCACTGATCACTTTCTGTTCTTTTCTTTCTTCTTCTCTGATATGTCTTTTCTAAGGCAACGGCGGTTTCCAATAGCGCCCAAAGTTTTAAACCAACAGTACTTCCTAAAGTTGTGCCCGTTAACAAGCCACAATGTTGGGAAACGTACGGGCCAGTAAAGGAGCGCCCAAATTCATCCGACTACAAACGTTCCTACTCTATTTTTCTCCGTGGCCGATAGCTGGTGGGCCAAGTACTGGTGGCGACAAACAGCAACCTTGATAGCTGGTGGGCCAAGTACTGGTGTGGACAAACAGCAACCTTCACTGCTGCCGACAAACAGCACCTGGTCATGTTCTCATTCTGATGCATTTCAGTGGGGCGTGAGTAATAACTACTTGGAATTCTTCGTCCACATGAGGCATACAGGCTTAGCAGTACTTCTCCAGAACCTACTGTTGGTTAAGACTCGGGAGCAGATCCCACCGGCAAAGACGATGGGAGTACTTCTCCAGAACCTACTGTTGGTTAAGACTAAGGAGCAGATCCCACCCGCAAAGAGGACGGGAAAAGGAGTCTGAATCTGGACGTTTTTGTGGAGATGTGCAAAAAAATTGTGACTGTTCTGCTTTTCTGCATCTCTGGGCCTCGCCACACCACAGTCGAAAGGCCAAAATATTCGACGGCTGTCAGAACAAATTCGACAGCCTCCATTCGGCAGTTTGCCCCCCCTTCGCCACACAGCACTGTAGAGTGCACGCACTTGTGAAAGCAAGTTGGAAAAAGACGAACGCGCCTGAGGGTACGACAAGCATCAGTCCATCCCGACCTTACCCCCACTCACCAAATTTTGAAGCGAAGTCGACGGCGCAGCCGAGGAGTGTCGAAAGCATCCGACCAGCAGGCTGGGGATTCAAAGACTTTCGACAGGAGGTGTCGAGAAGCATTCTCTGACAACTTGCAAATTTTCTTCTCGTCTCCGACTTCGACAGCCTGTGTGGCGAAGAGGAACCGTTGAAAATCGCATTTCCGACAGTGGCGCGGCGAGGCCCTCTGTGCGGAACACGTCCAGACTCAGCCACTTGTTCCAATCCTCTTTGCCAGTGGGATCTGGCCCTAAGACTTACGTCAACCCAAGAGCCTAACTCAGAGGGTACACCCATGGACTGTTGAAATACAGACCTGTGTTTGAATCCAGATGATGGAACTTGACAAGTAAAACCAACTACTAATGAATTGCTTAAGGCCGGTCAGCTCAAATGATAACATCTCAAGGCCGTCGCCCTTTGAAAAAAAAAAAAAAAAAAAAAGACTTAGGTCAAAACAGCATTGCAATCCTAGGGTAAGCGGTGCTCGAGGGTTCAACTTCGTAGAGGAGAAATAAAAAAACACCAAGACATCCTGCTATTCCCCCTGCCAAAGTACTCAGCACTCGGTTGCTGCTTTTAGAGAAGAACCAAGTGGACTAGCAACGGCTCCGCCCGAAGAAAAGAGGAGTTCAAAGAAAGTGAGGGGCAGTCACTGGGGGAGTCAATATGATCCCTTTACATTCCTTTAGTTCAGCAGCAACTATCCAACCATCAAACGGTTGCGAGTGCCTCACCCAGCTCGAAAAACAACCATGCGGCCCGTATACGGCCACATCTTTTAGACGTTGGGTACCGGATGGGCTTGTGGCGCCAGCCAAAAGGAGGCCCGCGCGGGTTCTTTTTTTGTTGGCGCACAGGGTAGGGTCGGCAGCAATAGCTGGGTGAGGCACTGGTGGTTTACGATACGATAACATATGCAGCATACTACTTAGGGGCTGACCCGACAGGACACTTTCACCAGAAAATAGGGAAAGTACCACGAAAGATGCGTCCGCGGCATTCGGTCTGCCCCCCGAGGGCCGACGTCGCAGGGGCTTTTGCAGAATGGACGGCGAAAGGGACTGCATGCCAACAGGTGCACAGGCCGACGGTACCTGTGGATGGACGTACCAAGGAGGGAAGGCGGACAAGGGGAAAAAAAAAAGAAGCAATCGAGGTAATGCCAACTTTCTGGGACAGGGGTAGGGGATACGGGACTCTTCCAGAATCCTATCCGTCACGCGCCTAAAGTCACGGCGGTGGCAACACGCAACCGATCGAGAGAAGAAATCTTTCAGCTGAGACCCGCGGTACAGTGTGGGATATCAAGTTTTTCCCAAACGTACCTTAACTAAGGAATGTCGGATCCAAAGCCGTTTAGGGCATACTGTTGATAAGCTTACTTCAAATATATCTGTGCACATTTCCGGTCAAACAGCCATTGACTACAGTCATGTACAAAGGCCTCAATTAGCCATTTCAATCTTCGATCTTGTGCTGATCTCTATCAGAGATGAGCATTTTGTCTTTGAACTGGCACTTCACCCAACCTGCACACATTTTTAAAATACAGCCGGCCCTCAAAAAATAAAAATAAAGAAATGTCAAGGTGACCCAACCCACCCAAGTGTTTTTTTGAAATTTTCCTCCCACACCAAACCCAACCATCACCCGTAAAAAACCTTCACCCTGACCCACCCATACCTGCAAGAACAAGATTACCCGCCCGCACTCGGTACCTAATTATTTTCCACCCTCACCCACCCGTTTCCCATTGTCTCAGTCCCTTTGAGCATTTACACACACCATAGCAACATGACATGCCTTGGATCACGGCGCTGAAATTGGAAGCATCTCCACCTTGCACCGTCCATGGATGACGGCGCGAAAATTCAAAAGCTCTCCACAAGTTTGAAATTGGGGAGTGAACCTTGCCACCTTCTGTGGTTAGGTTCGATCTCCGTTGTTTTAATGGGAGCGAACATCCCGTTGTTGGGCCGTGGTCCAGCTGCCACCAGTAGAGCGCAACACATTTTTTCAAGGAGGGTCCCAAATTTCGATATGCCACTGGCACAGCTCTTTTTTTCTCAAGGACCACAACTTCCTTTTTCCAGGGGGGCCCAGGGTGAACACTTTCCATTTCCTGGGCCTCCAACTTTTGAAGTCCATGGGTGGACTGCAGCTGGAAAGTACGTATGGGGGGGTTCTTATGGGTTGTCCTGGGTCTGTGGGTCGGGTGACCCAGACCTACCACCCCACCTAGTGCTCACCCGCCTGTCACCCACTCATTCGGGTGACCCGGGTCTAACAATGACCCGCCCGTCACCCACCCAGACCACCTAGCCTAGACCCACCCTCATCCCACCTATGCCAGCTTATCAACGTCCACACTGGACTCAATGCCTTGTGGGTGGGGTGGGTGCGGGTGGGTGTGGGTGTGGGTCTGGGTACCCCTTGCTCATCTCTGAGCTCTATCACCAGAAAGTAAAGAGACTCCTTCCCCCTTTCTCAAGAAAGCTAGGTGGCTTCAGAATACCAGATCCTTCCGTCACATAGCGCGTACAGACAGTAAGCAGCCATGCTCACTACTAATTCCTGTTTTTTTTTTCCCACTTCTCATTAGTTTTTCCATTTTACTATCCTGCAACCATGCTATCTCTTCTTTGACAAGTTTTTTCAGAAAACGCAACTGCCGAGACTGACATGCCAATCCATGCATTCGCGTCTAATTCGCCTCTTCTTCAGACCTACCGTCTCATGATCTACATAAGAAGATGGAAGCAGCTACAGAGAAATCATACTTGCACGAGGCCTGGTGCTGTGTAGACTGTACCCTCTCGTGATCTACATAAGAAGATGGAAGCAGCTACAGAGAAAACATACTTGCACGAGGCCTGGTGCTGCGTAGACTGTACTCTTGCGGTGCAACTATCGTGACCATAAGGGTTTCAACCTTCAATGGGTGCTTGTTTCCCTTTCACTTGCAGCTAGACTTCATAATATTCCTTTCACTTGTTGTTAGACTACAATTAAAAAAAAAGAAAAAAAAAAAAAAGAAAAGAAAGACTATGATCTACCTCCTTACGTCCATGCGTTGTTCATGCAGGATGCCGCTGAACTCTATGAGAAAGGTGGGCAGTTCGAGAAGGCCGCCAGCATATATATTCAGACAAAGAGCTTTGCACAAGTACAGCCTCTCATGTCCAAAATAACGACGCCGAAGCTACACATACAGGTCAGCACATTTCTGACTGTGCATCAAGAGGGCAACTAAATAATGCGCAGATTTCTATTTCTATTTTCAGAGTAGTTGATGCATTGAAAACAAAGAACAAACTACTGAGGCAAGCTTTGAATAGCCAGGCATCCGATGGAGTCCTGCGTGGCGATAGAATCACTWTTTGATGCACTTTTTTTTTTTGGGGGGGGGGGGGCTATTTGATGAGCCATATTTTTGCACGGTACTGCATGCATTAGTCTTCTACGAAAAACGCTAAAACAGTAGTAAAACTTCTTTGTTGTTGTTTTCCCTCAAAATAACTAATGCTTCCCAAACAGAGAAAGGACCAATCGAGACAAGCTTTGAATAATAACCATCAGAATAAGTCCTGTACGGTGATGGAATTACTCTCTGATGAAATAACATCCGTTAAAATTGGAATCATACGGAGAACAGTAGCATTGCCCCCTGCGCGCCAAAACAAACAATATTGCATGTGCATTCTATTGCCCTGTATGCTGATGGAATCACTATGTGATGAATAACATTGCACGGACTATTCGACAGACTTCGCACTTGCGAAATTTCCAAAGATAGCTTGAAATGAAAATGAAACAACTGTGAGGATTGAGCCCTCAAGAAGGGGCCTTGCAATGATGTACATGTTCTGGGCTAAGGCCCCAGCAAGCCTAGTGCCCGCCCTAAGTGAAGGCGGGCCAGCAAATCAACAAGAGCCCTCTGTGCCAACATTTCACGAAGTGGGGTCTATACAGTTGCAGCACGCCAGTTGGTTGGAGTGCACCGAGTCTCGGATTTCAGCAAAGGCTGAAAGCCCAGGGTCTCTGAGTTAGTTATGCCCTGGGCATTCGAACGTGAGGCCGAAAATGCCAAAGGGAAATCAGCCCACTATCTGAATCTGGCCGCAGGCCTTGATGATAGAGGCGCAACTGCATTGCCCCGGCGCCCAACTGTATCGGGTTGGCTTCAGCCTCTGGGTCCCGGTCACAGGCTGAAGGAAGGCCGCCACACGCTGCACTGGCATATAGGCAAGCAGGGCGAGTGGGCAGGGATCTTGGCCATTGCRGGCAATGCCGGCACGCTGCGCAAATGCGAGCTGCTGCTGCYGCTGCGCTGCGCTAAGAGAGGTGCAAGGCAGGCCAGCGCTAGGCGGTAGGGCGCTGCCTGCGCACCAGGGCACTGGCGGCCATAGCCGGGCCGCATGAGGGTGCAGTGAGGGATAAGGGCGAAGGTGGTCTTCGGAGGTGAAGGGCGCTGTGTGGGTAACAGGGAAGAGTGTGAGTGAAGAGGACACGTACCTGGTGGAGGTGGAGGTCGGCATTGGTGTTGACATCATCACTCGCTGGTAGTCAAGTTGTCTGGTTGCTTTCATTGCTGTAGTTGTAGGATAGGCTGTAGAGTAGATAGGGCGCCTGGCGCCATTCACAAGAGAGAGCTACATTTGGGTTATGCTGTTGGTGTTGCCCTGTTGGGCATGGACATTGACTCACGATTCTTCTGTATCATTCTCAATTGGATGGTTACTCGGTTCCATTGTACTATCTGCTTTGGCTTTGACTACTTGGACTTCAGTGTGATTTTGTATTCTGCATTTCTGTGCTTCGTCCATACTCATGTTCCTTGCAATTTGGTATCGGAGCTGGTTTGATCGCCACTTACCTTCGGCATGCTGGCGTTATACAGACTTGGTGCGTTGACGATGCTTCTTCGCAGTGGGTATTTGTGACGTCAGGCCACGTTAGGTGCACGCCATGGGTAGAGAGGGGTGCACCGGAAGGCTATTACGGCAGTGTATGCCGTGGGATACAGCGGAATGTTTGATTGATGATGAGAGCATGCTGATGTGGCATTGGACTAAGGTGGCACTGCATTGCGTTGTGGGTGGTACCGAGGTCATGACCGGTCATCAAATGCAACATCAGCTCAATTGGTGAGAAAATCTGTGGTTGGGGGCAGCTATCTCCAGGTATGTTGATCCCTTACCTTATCTACCTTCTCAATCTCTTCTTACCGTGAGGAAGTGAGTCCAACTTGAGAGTCCTCTCCTTGGTGAGGTGTCGTGAGCGCGCTACCTTGAGAGACGACGATCTTCTGGAAGGAGAAAGGGCGGTGCCTCTGAAGGGCCCTGGTCGAAGCACTGGGTCACGGTCACCATGCCAACCCACAGGGAGTAGTGCACCCATGCGATGGCTGYTGTCCTGTTTGGCACTTGCTGCGCTCAGATAGAAGTCTTGCCAAGTGTGCCAGCCTTGTATGAGACGCTTACCAGACCGTCTATAAACATTTCTGGTTGGGTACTCGGTATGATTCTGGCTGTGATCGTCGTCCTGACTGCGACGTTAAAGAATTCCTCAAGAGATGGGGGCGCTCTTAATAATCCTCCTGATCAGCCAGATCATCCGGGTGTAAGGCTCGTTTCCGTACGAGGGTAAATAAGAGTGGGCTGGCTGGCTTACTTGGCTCTGACTTGGGCACAGGGGTGGGCCGATACACACACAAAAACACTACTTTGCTCAAGATGCTGTTTGATATGTTGGATTGAGGGGAGGGTAGGTTCCAATTGGAGCTCAACTGTGTACACAACTATACCCATCAATCATACATCTGCTACATTGTCTTTTTGTACCTTTGATTAGTTGGTTGACGGACTGCTAACCTCACAGACAGATTAGTGTAGGACTGTTGTATGCTGCCATAGCCAATTCTAACTAATGCTGTTGTAAGTGAACCAATCAGGGTGCATCTAGACTATGCAGACAATCTGTGTGAATGTTGTAGACATGCCACTTGATCGGTATAGTAGGGAACTCGCCGGACACAACTATTTATAGAAAATTACGTGCCGGTCAGATACATGCTGCGGTAGGATTCCATTAGGGGATTCTAGTGCAGATACTATCTGCCTAACTAATGAGTGGGTCAGACCCTGTTGATGATAGAGCTGACATTAGGAGACTAACACGTGCAGGGGCATTAAGGGTACCGCACGTGTTCCAGGCCTTAGATCCGGGAGAAGAAAGACGGCTACGTAGAGCCCGTGCGCTAGCAGCGGGGATAGCAGCAGCAAACGCAGCAGCTAGAGAGCAGGCAACAGCAGCCAGAGCAGCAGCGATGGCTAACGGCCCAAGCTCTGCTGCGTCATCATCTGCGTCCTCGTCAGGGACTAATATGGGCCAGTTGGGAATGCCAACGAGTTCCACAAGTTCCTCGGGCACTTCCGGTTCCACAGGTTCTGGACAGTCTTCTAGTCAAATGGCGGGCGCGCAGTTCAGCCCGTTGACCCCGCGTCAGAGGGAGCTCAGAGAGATCCAGCAGGTCGAGATGCTCCGCCGTAAGTTAGAGCACGACCTGAAAGAAGCTACCGATAGAGAAAATGCGATGAAAACTAGAGCAGCCAGGCTTGAATCTTTAGAGGCTGACAAGGCTGAATTAGAGGGCTTGGATGAGTCAGCATTGACTGACCCGCTCAAAGTATTGAGAAAGAATATGTTGTCATTGCACGCACACGTGGACAGCAAATTAGACTTCATGCAGAGCACTCTAGACCAGATCCTGGATGCGTTGACAAGGCCAGGATTCCGGCCACCAGCACAATCGCCGTTGCCGTTATCGGCGATGTCAGGCCCCTTTCCGGTTCAAGTTGGTACACAGCCAAGTGGTACGTCTGCAGCAGTCTCACTGACTGTTGCATCTTCTTCTTCGGGTCCAGCGGTGGGAGCTACACCACCGCAACAACCTGTTCAGCAATCTGGACAGCCGACGGGTCAATGGTATCCTAAGACCCCAATGAAACCACCTCTTGCCTTCTCAGGCGAGGGAAAGGGCGAAGAACTCAACACTTGGTTGATAACAGTCCCGGTTTGGGTGAAGGCCAAGAGAACCTTGCTAGAGGACGAAGTGGTAACTGCGGCATCTTACCTGGAGGGTAAGGCAGCCAAGTGGTTAGATGGAGTAGTTATAAAGGCCGGGTATGGGAGACGCATGGCGGACTGGGCTAAGTCTCTGACGTTAGACCAGTTCATGGAAATGGTAGAAGCTCGATGGCATAACCCACAGGAGGCTCAAAAGGCCACTGATGCCATTAACAAACTAGACCAACGCAAGTTCAGGTCAGTTAGAGAGCTTACGACTACCGTTGAGAGCCTGATCCTCGTCCCAGGCATTAACTACAGCGACCAATTCCTATTGACTACGTTTGTCAGATGTCTCCCGGAGAACATTAGGAACTTGCTAGCCAGCGAGGCACACACTGAGTACCACTCGTTTGAGACACTGTCTAGGAAAGCCTTAAACTTGGAGGCCACGCTAGGCAATGCTCAACCCACCTCAGGGAATGACTCAAAGAAGAAGAAGAGTCCTCAGGAGTGGAAGAAGAAGGGGGCGAAGTTGATGATGGTTGAGTCTGATGGGACTCAAACTGAGATCGATGAGCTCTTTGACCTGATGGACTACTCAGAATATGACGGCGAGGAGGTAGCTGAGGGTAGCACCCTCGCCGCGGTAGTTAAGACTAAGGCGGCAGGCCGAGGGAAGGGGCAGCCTAGGGGTCAAGGGACGGCCGCCTCCAATCAGACCAAGCAGGCTGAGTGGGTAAAGGCAGGTCTTGAACAAGACGTGTGGCGTGACCGCCGAACGCGTGGTGCTTGTATCAACTGCGGGGAGTACGAACACTCGCAATACAAGTGCCAGAACGCTAAGGTTACGCAGAAGGTAGCTCCAAAGATGGGGGCAACCTACTCCTAGGCTTCTAGCTCGGGAAACGCGTAGGGCCAGTGGAAGTATTAGCCGCTTCGACTCAAGATGAAGTGGGATACATACCCTCCCCACTTCATGACAAGGCCAAGGCTAATGACCCCTTAGTCACCCCGCAGACACAACTAGACCAAACTATGCTCTGTACGTTAGATGTGTCTGAAGCCTTAGAAGACTTAGAGAATGAGTGGTTAAACAAGGACCCTCATGAGTCTTGGGTGGCACTAAGGAAAGGTCCTAGAGGGGAACATTTTGTGGTGGAGGTCGATGTAGGAGGCCGCAAATGTGGTGCCTTTATAGACATAGGCTCCACGCGGAATTACATAAGTCGCGACTGTTTGGAAAGGCTGCACCTACAGGACCGTGTACGGCACCTTAGTAGACCAGTAGCATCTACTTTGGCCAACAAGGAGCGCATGATTGTAACAGACTACATCAAGGACGTAGTCTGTACCTTCTCCTATGGAGGAGGTGAGCTTAACCATAAGATCTCGTTCTTGGTTAGCGACGACTTGCCATTTGACATGTTATTAGGCATGTACTACCTCGAAGTTGCTAAGCCCCAGTTCGACTGGGATAAGAAGGTGCTCAAGCATAAGTTGCCCGATGGCCGAACTGTCAGATTGACTAAGCTCAAGGCCAATAGCATTATAGATACCTATGGCTGCTTGTGCGCATCAGCGTTTTACAATTACTACCAGCAAAATCAAGAGGAGGGTATGTACCTTGTTTACGTCTCTGAGAAGGGGGAGGCCGTTAAAACACCCCCAGAGATAGAAGGTGTCGTTGCTAAGTTCCCTGATCTGTTCGAGGAGCCCACTGGAGTTGTTGAAAGGGAAGTCGTCCACACTATAGAAATCATTCCAGGGAGTAAGACCCCAAAGGGAAGGATCTATAGGATGGCCCCCGCCGAGTTAGATGAACTTCGACGACAGCTTAAAGAGCTAACAGAGAAGGGTTGGATTCGGCCTAGTACTTCCCCTTACGGATCACCCGTGCTATTCGTACCGAAGAAGGGGGGTACTTTGAGGATGTGCATTGACTATAGAGGCCTCAATGCCATCACCGAAAAAACGCAGAGCCTCTACCTCGCATAGACGACCTATTGGATAGGGTGCAGGGATGCAAGTACTATAATAAGACTTGAAATCCGGATATCATCAGATCGCAATAAGACCTGAGGACCAACACAAGACAACTTTTCAACCCAGATACGGTTTGTACGAGTTTGTAGTGATGCCCTTTGGTCTTTGCAATGCGCCGGGTACATTCCAACACGCTATGAATCGGATCTTCCATGACCATTTAGATAAGTTTGTCGTGGTTTACCTAGACGACATTCTGATCTTTAGTAAGTCTGCTGAGGAGCATGCACAACATGTTGAGACGGGACTTTCACTCCTTCGACAACACAAGTATAAGGTCAACTTAGAGAAGTGCGAGTTTGGCCGCACTAAGATATTATACTTGGGTCATGAAGTATCTGCGGAGGGAATTAGGTCGAAAGATGCTAAGGTGGCTAGTATTCGAGACTAGCCACGACCTCAGAAGGTCACTGAGGTCAGGTCATTCTTAGGAATGTGCGGCTACTATAGAAACTTCGTTAAGAACTATTCTACAGTCGCCTCTCCTTTGACTGATCTAACTCGACTTGACACACCGTGGGACCGGAGTAATGAGTGTGAGGGTGCTTTCAAGAGATTGAAGCATGCACTCATGAATCATGAGGTCCTCATGGTTCCTGATCCGCAGAAGCCATTCATAGTGACCACTGACGCAAGCCAATATGGCATTGGCGCAGTGCTGGCTCAGCAGGATGGAAAAAAGTTGAGACCGATTGAGTACATGAGTAAGAAGATGCCATCGAAAAAGTTGGCTAAGTCCACCTACGAAAGGGAACTCTATGCTCTCTACAAGGCACTTGTCCATTGGAGACACTTCCTTTTGGGAAGGTTCTTCTATCTGAGGACTGATCATCAGACCCTCAAATGGATCAAGACTCAACCGACTCTTTCTGATGCACTCAAGCGATGGATTGAGGTCATAGACCAATAT